ATGGAAGGGTTAAATGGTTAAAAGCAAAAATAAATGTGCTAGACATCTAAGGTCATGTAGCACTATAGTAAATGTTAGTAAAGGGTGGTTAAGTTAGTGATTAGTTAACAAAGGGCAAAGGAATTGGTGAGTGAATGGGTTAAGGTCGGGTGAGGTAATGTAAAGGGGTTAGATTAAGTGAGGGATATTTATGTGTTTGAGAGGAAAACAGGTTGTCGAAAGGAGGATAGGTGGGGGGGGGGGGGGGAGCAGAGCTAGGCTGCTTCAAAACGTGTGCATGATAATAGAATGTGTGAGATAGGGGTGGATCGGATTGCGACATCAGATAGGGGTGTGTTAGACGGGTGTGGAAAGGGATGCTTGTGATATAAGGGATTCATGTGTGTATCCAGGAGGGAGTGGAAGGGATAGAGGGGATGGTGGGAGGGTTAATGTGGGTGGGGTTGGAGTTGGGGGGGATGGGTTGTGTTGGGAAAGGGTAGGAGGATAGGGTGTAGGGGGGATATCGTTAGGAGGAGGATGGATATCGGCAGTCACTTGGTGTGTGGAGGAAGCAGGAGTTGTAGGATTTGAAGGTTGATGGGGGTCAGTTTTCATTAAGAAGTCTTGAATATTTTCAAGAGTTTCTTCAATGGAGTTGGTTGGGGAGTTTTGTGGGATAAAGGATTTCTTGTGAGGGGGGGAAGAGAACGCTGGTGTCTCAAGAGAGTTTTGGGGGATAAAGGATTTCTTGTGAGGGGGAGAAGAGAGGACTGGTGTCTCAAGAGTAGGGGCAAAGGATGGTGGAGGTGATTGTGTGGTAGGGGAAGAGGGGGTGGAACGTTTGTTCTGTCTGTTACGGGGAGTGCGAGGAGGGAGAGGGGAAGGTGTTGGGGTTGTAGTGGTGATTGGAGTATCTGTAGTAGAGATTGGAGTTTCTGGATTTAGGATGGTAAAAGAGTTTGACTGGGGAAGGTAGGTGGGGTTAGTGGGGGGGTTAGATGTAGGAGGGGTGGGTTTAGGAGAAGTGTTAGAATGAGCAGTATTACTGGAGTAAGGAGTAAGAGAGAATCCACGTCGACGTGCTTCCTGTCTGGCTTCACGCAGTGTGAGTCCGAGTTTGAATCTGAGAGTTGCTACCTCAGATTCAAATTTGTAGGTGGGACAGCCCCTATAAAATACATTATGGGGGCCGCCACAGTTGGCACATGTGCGTGATTGTGCAGAGCAATTAGATCGGGTATGGCCAGGTTGGGCACATAATGGGCATCTGGCTGTGGAAAGGCAGTGTTTGGCTGGGTGTCCTAGACGCCAACAATTTTGGCACTGACGTGGAGGAGGTTGGTATGGATGAACAGGGAGGGATTCGCCTCCTATGTAGACGTTAAAGGGAAGGTCATGTCTACGGAAGGTAATTTTGGCTATGTTAGTGGGTTTCTTTCGATGACCTCTGGGGGGGATGGAGTAGCATTGTACTGATGTTGCATCGTAGTCTGTGAGACAGGCAAGTAGATCTTCTCCACAATCTGACCAATCTTTGTCATAGATTGGGCAATTTGCTGGTGAGATTGAGACTGTTCCGGTGCAAGTATTGAGGGTTGGATGGGGTTCTGCTAGGATGGGGTTGCCATATAGGTCAGTTAGTTTTGTTAATGCTATGGCTTGGTTTTCGGATGTTACTGTTACAAGACGGGAGCGGTCGGGTCGGCTACGGAAAGAGACTTTACCTACTTGTTTTTGGAGGCATTGTTGGAAGAGAAGGGTGTTGTCAGAGTAGGGAGCTGTGGGAGGGATCACGAAAAATCGGTCCCATTTGGCTGCACTGAAGAGAGTATTCAAGATTGTTTTAGAGATAGGGGTGGTAGAAGGGCGAGGGCGTGAAGAAGATGGAGTAGTGTTGATGGAGGTAGTGTTATGGAGAGGTGGGCTATAAGGCTGTAAGGTATTAATAAGGGAGGATGGGGTGGTTGATGTTGGAGGTTGTGGGGGTAGAGGTGTTGAAGTTGGGCATGCTGGGAGAGTGGAAATGTTCCTTGAGGGTTGATTGTTGGCTACTGTACTAGTAGGCATTGGTGAAGGGGCAGTTATTGCAGTGTTCGGAGCCGTGGTCAAAGGAGAGCCTGGGGTCGGGGAATCGGGTGGGTTTACTTCTTTGGGGCTATTTGATAAAGGGGCAAGCCTCATTGCCCCTAACAGTGGGGATATATTTTCATTACTGGCCATGGTAAGCCTGGTTATGTTGGGGATAAAAACAGTCCACCCCTCAGGGTCCCCTTGAGGGGTAAGGGCTAGATACTAAATCAGGGGAATACCGTGCCCATGGCTCCCTCAGGCCGTTCAGGACTGGCACAAAGTCAGCCTTTCATCCTTTCAGCACGGCTCTCACACCTTAGGAGGTGGATAGCAGAAGGGTTTGGTGAAGGGACAGAAACAAAAGTGGGAAGGGAAAAAAAGACCATGCACAATTAGTTGAGTCGAGGGCTGAGTCCCAAGGTTGGGGAGTTCCCCATCATTGGGTCCCAGTCTCCGCCTCCTAAGCCCCCCCACGACAACAACGGGCAAGGAATTGGGGGGGAGAAGATGGAAGGGGAGCAGAACAAAGTAGAGGGGAAATTACAAAGAATTGATCCCACTTGATTGGGGGTATAAGTATCAGTCAAAGCCATGGTCAAAGGAGAGGTAGGGGTCAGGAAACCAATGAAATCACATTTAGATAGGATAGTTGATGAAAGGGCAAGCCTTAATGCCACTTATAAGGGTAAAACATCTTCCTTGTTGGCCTTAGTGAGCCAGAAATAAATGAGGAGAGGAAATGGTCTACCTCTCAGGGTCCCCATGAGGGGTAAAGGCTAGACAATTAACCAAGAGTATACTGTGCCCATGGCTCCCTGAGGTTGTTCATGAAAGACACAAAGCCAGCCTTTAATCCTTTCAGCACGGTTCTCACACCTTAGGAAGCAGACAGAAGAAGGGGAGGATGAAGAAAAGAAAAAGAAAAGACCATGCAAAATCCCCCCCCCCACACACAACAATAATGAGCAAGGGATCAGGGGAGGGATATGAGTGGGAGCATGTGTGTGTGTTTATATAAAGTAATAAGAGAGCATCATAAAACACCAGAAATTAGGAAAATTAGTGAACTATTTCTACAAAATTTCTTTCTTTTATTTAAACATTAGTTATAATATGTATGAGGTAAGTGTTACTCTTTCATTGTCAGCATTTTATTACTTATTATACAATGTCATTTCACACATACATACTATTTTTATTTAAAATAACACATTTACACTGCTCATTCATGAATGGAATATGTCAATCATGCTCAGTAATGGATGGTAACATAACTACTGACAAGCTATATATATATATATATAATTATACAAATATATAGAAGAGGCAATAACAATACCCCTACATCATGAAATAAGAAATATGAGACTTATTCTATTTAGAGTTCATTTGGCCTAATTTCATGCAGTATACAGTCAGCATGAAACACTTGTATTTGATCTAAATTAAACTATGAAGAAATATCCACATCCATTCTTCACACAACCAGCATTATCACACAGAGGAGAAAAAGAAAGATTGAACTGCAAAATGAAGAAAAAAAAAAAAATGTTATCAGATTAAGGCCTATTGCTTCAGTGACAGGTACATTTTCCCCGTCACCATCTGTTTTATGGGATTGATGCGCTTCAGGATATGGGCGATGGCCTGGACGAGTTGGTCAGAGCTCAGGCCTGTCTTCTTCTTGAGTTTGAATTTCTGGAGGAGTTCGGTTGTGGTCATGGGTCTGCGCATCAGGTATCGTCTGATAGCTTCCTCTGTTACGCCACTATCACTGTACAGGAAGATGAGAAGTGTACAATAAATGAAGAGAGTAACAGAAGTTTGATTTTACTTTCTCAATGGCAACCTTACAAGTTTTCCTCCTTTTTCCTAGTTGATAGGATATGTAGTTTTTTGTCAAAAAGATATTGCAAATAAAAGAGTCTAGGATAAAAACAGAGACAGACAGAAACAAAGCTGAAAAAGAATTAGACATTAAAACATTAACTAAGACTGAAACAGAAAAAAAAAAGATACAAGATAAATAGAAAGAGACAAAAACAAAGACAGAGATGAGACTGAATCAAACACAGACACAAACCAAAAGAGGCAGAGAAAGAGAAAAAGTGAGACCATCCCACTAACAACCAAAGGGCTTAGATCACCACAAAAGAGCAGCAGCCCAATTTTCCTCTTGTTTGATACTGCTCTTACTAACCTGCCGGGGGCCACCAGGGGAGTGGATGATCCAGGTGTTGGGATGTCGGATCGAGCCTTCTTGGCAAGGCTGTCTGATGCGCCTGATTTCCCCAATTTACGCTTGCCAGTCCCATCTTCATCATTTTTGTCCTTGTCAGACCTGTCACCATTTGTAATTTAATTAAAAGAAATATTGGTAGGAATGATACTCTGCTGATATTTCTTTTCCCCCTTTTTTAGGCCAAAATGTCTTCAACAGGCTAGCGGATTGGCTGATGGTTATGTCAGTCAATCACAGTCAACTTGCTGAATGCATTTTTACCTTGTATAATTAAGGGTATAATTGATGTGAATTACTGCTGTGTACTGTCATAATTGTATAAGTTCTCAGTGTAATAATACCTGTATTAACCAAAAAATAATAATAAAGATATATTATCAAAGAAAGTAATGTCCTTTCTTTGCTTCACATCCTTACCCATCACCATGGAAAAATATGCCAAGTAAGCTAAAATACATTTCCTCTACTTCACGATTTATCATCTTTATCCTTTCTTTTTCTTCTTCTTTTCATCATCACTGGTGTCGGAGGTCTTGGCATCGGAGTCTGCTGCAAAGAAAGGGAAGATCAATAAATTAGGATTATTTCCTAGTGTAAATGAGTCTACTTAACCCATTGCCGCCAGGGATGGCATGTACGTACATGCCATGCCCACTATGAGTCGACTTCTTTGATTGTTTTTACACATAGATGGCTACACTTGTACTAAGTCGCCAATGAGCCAATTACGAGTACTGCCTGTCTCGCCCGTTCACCCTTTTCATCAGTTTACGAAAATATTTAACGTTATCCTAATTTGCTGTTAAAAATAACACCATCTATATTTGTAGCACGAGTAAGAATACGTTTTTTCCCACCAATTCAAGGTAAGGTGAAATCAGGACTAGCAGAGCCATCTATGTACAGAGATATTTCACAAAAATATAAAAAATGAGTACAGCATTTTCCCCATTTTTTGTTCATTTTCCCCGGTGGCAATGGGTTAACCACATGCCGCCGGGGAAAATGCTATCCTCATTTTAATTTTTTTTTTTTTTTGTGAAATGTCTTCAGCTAGTGCTTGGCCACAAAGGAGTCAATTAGTAGACCTTATGACCTTACCTAATTTCATCTTTCCTTGAAATGACAGATTTTTTTTTTTTTTTTTTTTTTTTTTTTTTTTTTTTTTTTTTTTTTTTTAACTAATGCTATGAATATTGAGGGCATTATTTTTATTATGGACGTTATAATCACTATACTTTTCTAAACAATAGGAACAGAAAAATGTAAATATTTTCTGTAAATCAAGTTAAAGGGTAAACAGGCAAGACAAGCAGTACTCGTAATTTGCTCATTAGTGACTTAGTACAAGTGTAGCCATCTATGTGTAAAAACAATTAATAAATTAAATTCACAGTGGATATTGCATGTACATACATGCAATAGCCATCAGTAATGGGTTAATTACCCTTTTTTTTAATGTTCTCTAAACCTATCCATTAACATGAGTAAAATTCATTTGATGATAATCATATGAGTGTGATTTCACATACACATCCAAACACATATGCAAGATATATTATACATATATTTTATATATATATATATATATATATATATATATATATATATATATATATATATATATATATATATATATATATATATATATATATATATATATTAAGTTTGTAATTCTCTGGGTATCTGCCAACCACAAAAGCATATGGAACATAAAACATCATGATCAAGCACTCACCTTGATCTTTCTTCTTATCCTTTTTCTTCTTCTTCTTCTTTTTCTTCTCCTTCTCCTCTTTCTCCTCCCCTTCCTTCTTCTCCTCATCCTCCTCTTCTTTCTCCTTCTCCTTCTCTTCCTCTTCCTCATCTTCAGAACCTAGGAGTTTCCTCAGGGCATCTGCTTCATCAACTCCTGCTAGCTCCTTGGTGACAACCTCATCATTCTCAGCTTCAGAGCTGATGGAAAGAATGGTGTTAGGTGGAGGGAGAAATATATATATATATGTAATAATTATCTTAAAAGTTGTTCCCCACATTGATAGCCAGCTTTATACAATATCACAAGACACAGGACCTCTCATCTAAAATGCATTTCTTCACAACTTCTTAGCACAATATCCTCAATAGTGCCATCCCCAACACACAATCTTGAAAATACAGACTTCATGGTATTCTTACAAACAAACAAACCAACAAACACACACATATATCACAAGCAAAATAATTTGGCAAACAAATATTGCAGAAATTTAGTACTTTTCTTAAAGAAATCAGAAGAAAAATTATTAAAAAAAAGAGAGAGAAAATATAGAAGAAGTATGACTGACAATCCCAACTTAAATAATTTAAAGCACAAACCCTGAATAAGCACTTTAGCCCTCCCCAAAACACAATCTTGTAAATATATATACTTAACGGCATTTTTACAAAAAAACACACAAAATTTACAATCCCACTTACTCTGAAGAATCACTTGAGATATAGTCATGCTCGGCCCCATCGTTGTATTCATCACTCTCCTCCAGGCAATCTTCTTCACTGTCTCCATCTGGATTCTTTTTCTTCTTCCCCCCTGGAAGACAAGAGATCGTGCATATACTTTGTCAAAAATAACAAGATGGCTAACCATGAAATAAATTGTGGTTGTGGATTTCTTAAAAATTTTACAATATACTTGAGAAAAAGCGGCTAAAAATGACAGGCTGCTTGATGCTTACCATGTTGGTGTCTGCCTTTGGACTGAACCTTCTTTTTCTTCTTCTTTTGCATTTCACGTTCTTCTTCATCAATTTCTTCATTGCTACCTGACTCATCATCAGACATCCAATCATCCATTTCTGAGAGTCTCAAGTCTGTAATGAATGACCATCTTGGGTAATATTGCTCCTTTTACACGCTTTTGATTCTCCTATTTCTTTAATTTCATATAATATATATATAATGTATATATATATATATATATATATATATATATATATATATATATATATATATATATATATAATATATATATATATAAAAATATAAAGAGAGAGAGAGAGAGAGAGAGAGAGAGAGAGAGAGAGAGAGAGAGAGAGAGAGAGATACTATACATATAGAGATATACAGATAGTCCCCTACTTAAGAACATTCTACTTACGCACATTCCGTACATACAAACTTTTTTTTTTAAATACTTGAGTCAAAAAAATTGTTTGAAAGATGCTAGCAAACTTCAAATTTCCAGGGGGGGAATATAGTTCATGAGTCTGCCACGCCGTGACGCCGCTGCGCTCACTCAGCTGTGCCATCACTCGCCTGCCCTCCCACCATAAACAAGAAAGCCTCTCTTCACTGTGTCCTTGTGTACCGACAATTTTTGTGCCATAATTCGCTTTACCTGTACATTAATCCATCAAAAATGTCGGGTGTGAAGAGAAAGATAAACGGTAAAGCCAGTGGAAGTCCCAAGAAACTTCAGGCTATAACTTTAACGATCTTTTCAATCAGTTCGCCAGCCAGTCACCCTACAATATATTTTCTTTTTGAATAAATTATGTTTCCACATTTAAAGTTGTCTGAATCACCATCAAATAATATTAAGAAACTGCTCGAAAAGTGGCATGTGGCTGTACACTGCGGCGAGCTAGTAATTCGGCCTGAACTACCGAACCGAGTTTTTTATTTGCCAGTCACCACTACAATATATTTTCTTTTTGAATAAATTATGTTTCTACATTAAAGTTGTATGAACCACCATCAAATAATATTAAAAGCATTACATGTTACAGGTACTGTATAAGGTATGCCATACTTATTGGGATTTATGTACAGGTATTCCTAATGTAAACAAAACTTTAAAACAATGGGAAAAAAGGCAATGGAGACCCGACTTTCGACATACAGTCAAATCGACTTCCGAACAGCCTCTCGGTCCCCATTATGTCCATAAGTTGGGGACTTACTGTATATTGTAGAATATAATATAATATACAATATAATAAATATATATATAATATAATAAATATATATATAATATAATATAATACACACACACACACACACACACACACACATATAGAAAGACAAATAGATAGATATAGATAGATAGATACACATATATATAGGTACATCTTATATATATAAAAGAAAGAAAGAGAGAGAGAGAGAGAGAGAGAGAGAGAGAGAGAGAGAGAGAGAGAGAGAGAGAGAGAGAGAGAGAGAGAGAGAGAGAGAGAGAAAAAGAAAAATAGAAAGAAAAAAGATGTATACTAGAGACTAATTTAAAACAGTCATGAGTGTAATAAAGGAAACTGAAGTGCACTGCAGCTGAAAATTTGAAGAACACTACTATATACGGCATAAACACGATTTGTTTCTTACTCTTGCTTGAAGATCCTTTCTTCTTTGTGGCCTCTTCTCCTTCCTCTCCTTCCTCTCCTCCATCTTTCTTAAGTTTCTTCTGGTACATCACCGAGAAGTAATTCATAATTTTGTCGCGCCTGTTAAAAAAACACAGTCAGGTTATTTAGGGTCATCAACTGGCTTTTTCCCTGTTCAAAATCTAAGTCGTATATCTTTTTGAAAATATCTCTCCCATGATTGCCAATGCCATTCCAGGAACAAGACAGCAATTTCCATGTCTATCCAGTGATTAAAACAAAGAACTGATGCTGAGCCCTGACAATAACTCAGGTTGCCACGTCACTTGTCCAGACTGTTGAGCAACAGCAGATGCTGGACACCACTATTCTGACATTTTCATAATTTACAAATAATAATTCTGCATATATTAGTTCATGTGCTTTATAAATATTAAACTCTTCAAATTATTGATCTCAGCTGTCAAATATTGGACCCTTCGTTATGTTAACTTACTGACACTTTTATTTTCTAACTTTGAATTAATTTGTCCAGGCAATACTGATGCACCTGATACCCATTATGAGAGAAGAAACACACAATAGAATATTTCTCATTTAATTTCTTTTCCATTTAACCCATTGCCAACGGGTGGCATCCCGACGCGCAAGGTCGCTTTCCCGGGGTGTATCCATAGTGGCCCGGGCCCCGCTGCCAGGGGCTCATATTGTCACCCTAGCATGCGCGACCGCTCATGCCCAATACCAGCATCCCTTGCCTTTTCTTTGTAATACTAAGAACCTATGTTGTACTTTCATTACTATTATTATCTAAGGTCTCTATTTTCCATTTTTTCTGATAAATCAAGACAGTAGGATATTTTTGTTGTTATATAGACTCCATAGTTGATCATTCTTCGCTCTATAGTCTGCATAAAATAAGCAGTGTGTGGTATCATGGAGTTGAAACCGTAGGTTTAGTTGTATTTTCTTATGCATTTTTTTCAAGTTATTTTATAAGATAAACTTTAGTTCCAATAGGTTTATATTATCACTTCCATATAGATATAATTATAGGTTCAGTGTTTTTATAAATACGTGATTTTTTTTTTTTTTTTTTTTTTTTTTTTTTTTTTTTTGAACGTTCGTCCGTTCGTTTCTTCTTCTTCCCCGATCCTTCGTTTGACTTGACCAATTTGCACATCTATGTCACACTCTCAACCTCCACCCACTCCCGCAATACTCACAAGTACACGGTCGTACATGTAATCATATACGTATGCTCACGTACACAAACACACGCACAAATGCATACACATGCACACAGACACAAACACACATGCACGCACACTCTTCCACTCAATGGCTCATCGACTCGAATTACCGATCAGACACGTATGTATACGGGCACGCACACGCACACGCACTCAACGCACGCACGCACGCACGCACACACACACACACATATATATCTGTATATATGAGTATATATATGTCTATATCTATGTTTATCTACGTATGCATATATATATATATATATATATATATATATATATATATATATATATATATATATACATAAATATATATATGCATATATATAAGTATATATATATATATATATATATATATATACAAGCGACGGCTCACATATTTCGCGAGTCGCGGCCCGCTTACACACGCAATTTCTTAGACGCTAACCACGAAAGCCCGAGAAGCCTTTATGAAATGCATAGTATAGGAAAAACGAGAAAAAGTGTTAAAAACTACATAACGACATTTTCAAAGGAAAAAAATAATATTTTACCATAATTGTAACAAAAGAAACTCATGACATGTCCGTACATACCCCCGGCATATGGTCCATGGACATCATGGCACATATGTACATGCCACCCGGCAGATTGGCCAGGCATGCCATGGCATGTACGTACATGCCACCCGGCGGCGATGGGTTAACAACTGATTTGAATATCAATATAGGGAAAATTTAATTAATTTTGCTTCAGAATGTGCTCTAAAATACCTCATCTTAAATTCTTTGATATTCCTGTACAAATCTTTTTCTTCAGTGTTAATAAACTTGAAATAGGAATTGATAGCAATATTTTTCCAATGCTGGCTTTATTTTTTCACCAAATTTAAACTAGGGTTTGAGATCTGCCAAAAATCTGAAATAAGGGGTGTAAAACACTCAAACAAACAAACAAACACACACTCACTCTCTTTCTCTCTCTCATTCTCATTCTCTCACCAAAACTATAAAATGGTGTGCCATCTTCAAATCCCTGACCCTGTTTTGCACTAGTTATTCAAAGTAGGGACGCGGAGCTCATGCTTGTCCATGAGATGCAACGTGATGCTGATACTGTGCTCTTCCTCACAAGAGTTCAGAATGTGCAGAAAAATTTCTGAAGGCAAAACTATCCCTCGGAAATGAATGAACTGTCATCAAGAGTTTAATGCAAATTCTCCATTGTGTGCTTACTATCCAAAAGGAAACTAAACAGACAAAAAAAAAGTCCCTCCCAACCCCTCTTCTTAATGATGTGGAGGAATTCCCACACCTGCAGAGGTCAACAGTGATGGCCCCTTCATGGCACCAGCCACAGGACTAGCACCAAAACGAGAAAAAAAGCCATCAACTCAATCACCAATCCTAGCACCAGCTCCAGCACCAGCTCCAGCTCAGCTCTCACTACAGCAGATAAGCAGTAAAATGAAGGATCTGCTACAAATGCTGCTCAAGGAGATAGAGCAGATGTTCATGATTTAGTAACAGATGGTTCAACAATCACAGTTCCAAGAAAGAACATTTGTAAGTGATAATTGATGGTTCAAAATAACCTCTTGAAATGTATTACTTGGTACAATAACAGTTGCAGAAATGCAATACAACTCTCTCTCAGTATCTTCACTCTGTACATGTTGATGTGCATTGATTTCAGGAAGTCAAAAATGATGCTCGTTATACAAAAAATACAGAATACACACATGACAAACCTAATATTGCTAATCCTGGTGGAATACTATTAAACTAAAAGTGTTCAATAACAAACATGACAACACATATGCTGAATATCTTGGTGTTAAAATATTTCTTGCTGGTAAAACTATCACCATCTTTAATGTATACATCCCACATGATAGTGAAGTGTTACCTAAACTTCCTGACAGGACGATACATATTGATACTGTCTTACTGTGTAGGGATTTTAATGCTCGTCATCCAAAAAGGTAAGGTTTATTATGACTCCAAAACACTAAAGACCTCATAACCTATCATGCCCCTTAGAAAAGACTCATTACCTAGGTGGCAAATTAGATTATATAACTCCATACAATCAGCACACACTCCCAAGCAGTGCAAAAGTCTTCCCATTGTTAGTCAGTGACCATTGGGCATTGAAAAAGAAGCCCACCCCAGCCATGCCTTCCATATCATCTTGCTACTAAACATCACAATGAGTTTATCAAAATGATTGGCTGCTGGTATGAAGACTTTACTCCTACCAGCCTTGATAATTTTAATGAAACTCTGTCAACAAGTTGGTAACATTATTAACCAACTCCACCCCAGAAACCCTGTCCAACATAGGTCTCATCCTCCAGAGGCAAAGGAGCATATCACCTAAACAAAGATCTTGAAATAAAGCTACTTAAACAGTTCATAAGGTCTACAATAAATCAGCTAAAGCACTTGGGAAGAAACCCCTACTTAGCTCAGGACCATGACCGACTATGTGAGCCTGGTTCTTATTATGTTGCCACAGAATGGTCTCAAACCCCTTGAATTATTCTTGGTTGCCCAATGACTGCTAAAGTTTTTGTCTTGAGAAAAGAACTAGACCTCTCTTCAATTCACACTTGAATCACCCAGGTTAACACCATACTCAGCATCAGACTTCTGCTGCTTTAATCCAGACCATAAATTTCCTTCACTTTATCTAACGAGAGTAATTATCAAGTTAGGCACGCCCTGTGCCTTCAATACAATATCTGATACAGTCAAACCTAGAATGGAAAGTCAAAACTGTCCAGACTATTCTCTACTTTAATGTGTGGAACACTGATGCTATTAACATCCCAGAAGGAAAACTTACTGCACCATGGAACAGATCACGTGTATATGTTCATATTGACAAATTAACAAGGCTTAAATCCATGACTTAAATAACAGAATTAACCCACTGGATCCAGATACATACTCACACATGCACGCACGCACCCACACACATACACACACACACATAAATACAACTCTGTCTCTCTATCTACCTCTATCTACTTCTGCCTACCTGCCTGGCTATCCATCTATCCCAGTAATTAAATCACCAAAAATCCAGCCATTAGGCTAACATGAGTGGCCGTTCTGCCAGGTGGCTGCTTGTAGGCTGAGCGCACACTAACACTGTGCAGTGACAAGACTCTGTGCCTCCTATTTGCAAAGTTATTTACTCTTTTCATGCATAAGCATTTTTAGCCTTTTGGCCATTTTCTAATGTCCATATTTGCCATTTGATTTGCATTACCAAGATGGTAATATCCAATTGTCTGTAATACAATCCGTGTTGCTGCCCACGGCGCCAGGAATACGATGCTGAGCATGGAAATGACATCTTCTACGGGGCCAGTGCTCTTCCAGTCACTGCTCATGAACATTACATTCCACACTCATACATTGATGGGAATAATGCAAAATCACCAAATGAGTAAAATAAACCTCCCAATAGGTTAGTGCACTTGTGGCAAGTCTTTTCCATCACCCAGCCTACAGCCAGATTTTCCCATGGCAGCATGTTCATAGCACCGGCCCCTCAACCCAGATTTTTTCATGACATGATGGTAACATCACACAGCGACATTCACACACACACACATGAACACACACACACACATAAACACACATCTGTCTCTCTATCTACCTCTACCTACTTCTGCCTACCTATCCATCTATCTATCTCTGTTTCCCTTCTTCTCTCTCAAGTCACACCTTTATTTTATGTTTTCATTATTATTTTCTGTTTGTATATCTCTCTTTCTATCTTCTCATAACTCATGCTCCTTCCATCCTTATATGACTTCAAACTCCAGGTAAATTGAAGCAGTAACTTCACATCTTTACATGACCTCATGGCATAACTCAATGTTACGAGTAAAAAATAATAGTATTAAAAATAATCTCGGAACTATCCATGTACACAAAACAGATGTCCCCGAGGTCCATTACATTACATCTCATGGACGAGACACCCTGGCAGACAGGCGGGAATAACAGCGTCACACATATGAGACACCTGGTAATGAGCTATTTTCTGGGTGTCATACCCGTGTGACACCCGGCATGAGTGGGTTAAACAAATGAAAAAACTGTCTTCAAGATTATGAGGGCCAGGTATGGACCACTAAAAAACTGAAGAAAGATGGACATGGAACTATCTGGCATTATGAAAGTATTGCAGGGACATCTGATATGGAGAAACCAATAAAGTCTATAATGGACTGTCTCAGAAGGAACAGGTTACACTGACCAGGCTATGTACAGGATATAGTACACTATACATTATGTACAGGATACAGTTCTGGAGGCAAAGCCAGTCACATATTGCCCCAGCAAAATGTGCAAGGTGCCCAAATTGCATAAACTAACACATTATTTAATTTATTGCTCAAAAACTGCATCTTATCAATCAAATATAGACACTGGTCTTGTCTTTGATATGATTAGTGATATAATTTTTTTTTACAGACTAAATGATATGTGAATAATTTAAGTACAATGGCACAGCCTTTCAGGCATGTATAACCAATGTTTGATTAACAGCCCTCTACACAAAAAGAAGCACAGCCAGTTTGGATAAATGCTATAGCATCTTACCTTGGCTTTTTGCAGGGCATATAAATTGTTCTGTAAATAAATTTTTATCAAATCAATCTCTCACTTGAAAAAAAGCAAAACTGACCTTTCAAACTCCTTTTCTGCTTCCTCTGCATTGAGGGCCTTGTACCTAGGGACAAGACTGAACTTATACCACTCTTCAACAGGGTAGGCTTCAAAGGCCCCATCTTTACCCTGCATAAACACATACCAGGAGGAGTTCTCTGAGACACCACCTTCTCTGATTCCTTTATATCTGCAAAGTAAAATCTTATATGAGGCAGGCAAAAGAATTCTTTTTCCTTTATCACCAAAATTCTTACTATGTCTAAAATCAACACTTACTAAAACAACCAAACAAACAAACAAACTCTCTCTCTCTCTGAACATAATGGTTAATGGTTATAACAAACAAATGTGCTAGACATCAAATGTCATATACCACTATGGTAAAGTATTGTGGTGAAAAGGGGTAAAAATGAGTTAGCAATTACAATAAGTGGACAGAAGGGGATGAAGAAGAGAAAGAAAAGGAAGGGGGGAGAAGAAGAGACCATGCAAAATTAGTTGAGGCAAGGGCTGAGGGCCAAAGTAGGGGTGATCTCCAACATTGGGCCTAAGTCTCTGTCTCCTAGGCTAATTTTTCAGCTTAATCTGTCATAAGTTATTACATCAAATAAAATATTACCTGGCTTTATAATTAATTTATAATTAAGATTAATATGTATATTTCAAAAGAAGTTAACTCATTGATACTAAGAATGCATATACCAGCATTCTTCATTGTTGTTTCTCTTTATTCATTCTCCTTATCCATTGACAGCTTCACAAGTGGCTGGTCACCAAGGAATTGGTTACTTACCTACTTGCCCCTTTCTTTGAATATTCAGGTTGAAAAAAATAAATAAATAAATAAATAAATAAATAATAAATAAATAAATAAATAATAAATAAATAAATAAAAATAAAACAGTTAAAATCTAATCTACTATTATCAACTTGTTGGCTAGTAACTGTCAATTGGGAATAAAAAATAAATACCTGAAACAAATCCATCTCTGGGTCTAACCAACTGTTAGAGATACTACATGTTGCCATGTTAATGCCTTTCAGCATTTTAGACAGCCTAGAACAGTGTTATTCACTAATTTTTTCAAGAGAGCCAAAAGTTCAGGGCATATTCAGATTGAGAGCCACATGCCTCATAAGCTACAAGGATTAGTATTAGCAGAACAAAATATATACAGAAACTAAATTACATATTTTTTACATATTTTTGATACTGGCAAAGTATGGGTCGCCGAGCACTGGATTTTACGTAACCTACACGTACAGTTCCTGTGCGGAAGGAGCGTCATATCTCTCTCTCTCTCTCTCTCTCTCTCTCTCTCTCTCTCTCTCTCTCTCTCTCTCTCTCTCTCTCTCTCTCTCTCTCTCTCTCTCTCTCTCTCTGTTTTGCGAGCCGCCACTCAGGTCTTGGCGAGCCGCCACTGGCTCGCGAGCCGCGCAATGAAGACCACTGGCCTAGAAGCATTGGGTTAGTAGCATTATAATAATAATAATGATGATAATGATAAATAATAGTCTTGAAATAAAGCATTTTCTTTTGAAGATCCAAGGAATAGGTTAAACAGGCAAAATCAAGTAAACCTAGTAACTGACTCCTTTGTGACAAAGTTGTTGTGAAATCAGTTATGATACTAATGATATGCTTACTATGGATAGTGAAAAATAAATATATATGATAAAAAATATATAAAGAGATAATGCTGCAATATACTGTTAAAGATAAACAATTAAATAAATTCCATAAGCAACATTGATCATCTAAAAAGGAGAAAACTAACTAAATAAAAATAAAAATAAGCATATAAATAAATAAAAAGGATATAATATCCCACAAAACCTTCCACTCCCTGAATCAACAAAATAATAAAAAATGCATCTTCAACACAAATCTGATGACAGAGCACCCACTTTTTCCCATTTTTACCACCAACATGAAGGATCCACGGCTGATCTTCAGGTCGGTATTTCTTCATGTGGATACCGTATTTCTTTCGCCTTGCCTCTTCCCTTTGGTCACGGCCGAACTCTGACCCGGCCCCATACCTGGGAGAGAACAAGTATTTAATTGCATGAATCTGTTCTTGAGAAGAAGTATACAATACAGAGGAGAATGAAGCATGCTTGCTATATCCTGATGACAATGTATCCTCTTGACTCTGACAAATAAAGACAGGTACAGAGCCTAAGGAGAATTAAATGGGACTGTGCTATCCTTGCCAGAGGACAGATTCTGATAGATACCTAGAAAATCATGTATTCTTGTAGATAGCCAACAGATAACCAAAGGCTGATGGTACTTAATTAATATGTTCAGGAGATGAAAGTGAACATGATACATAAACAATAGAATGATAATTGGCAAAAGAATAGAAAACAAAGAAAATTGTAGGTCAGGTGAAACTGTAAATTGGCAAAACAATGCTTGTTAACAACTTCAGGGAGATGAAAAAAAGTGAATTTCAAGGGGTTGAACCTTGAACATTCTATCTTACTTGGGCATCTCATCATCCAAGCTCTTGAACTCCTTCATGTTGTTCTCTCTCTCCATCTTGGTGTGATTCCATGTCTTGAAGTCAACCCCCAAGGCTGTGTGAAATCGCATCACATTGTACTTCTTTTTGAGTGACCTGTTGAGACATTTTTCCATTAGTGTATTGGTACTCTGAGTGCCTCTACTATTGTGCTCTAAAATTAATAAATGCTGATTCAGAAGCTTTATATAGACAAATTCTTTACCTTGAACTACATCTGTAGGTACTGTTTTTTTATATAATGTACAAAACAAACTTCAAAATATTAAACTTACTTTGGTACTCTTACTGTGTACTCCATCTCTGCAAACTAAAACAAATAAAGGCTTAAATTAGCTTCATTTCAATTGATTTAGATAAAAGTTTGACTAATTCATGCAAAAGATTGATTATGATGAAGAATGGTAAAAACGTTTGTTTGGCTTAAGTTGGGCTTAATGTTCAATTGGATTAATTAAAGTAAAAGTTTCATATGGATATCAAATCTATCAAAAGGTTAATTTGGATTAACAGAGGGAAAAAGGTCATTTAAGCAAAAAGGCCCAATTCGACTAATTGTGATAGAAAGTTTCGTCACGTTTAACTTTGGCAAATGGTTCATTTGAATGAGATCTACAGAGACCACAAATTAATTTTTTCAAGAATATTTAATATAAAAGCCATAAAGAGGACCAAAACAAATCAAAATCCCAGGGGTCATATAATTTCCACATCATAGCACTTCCCAATCCCTTAGTATAGGAAACTTACACCACCTAAAGAAATTGAATGATCATGTTCTGAATTTTTAGGACTCCTCAATGCTGCCATAAAATTATATAAAAACTTATAATAAATAAAGAAACAAATATTGAAACAATAAAAATTGCAAAACAAATAATCTTCAGGACCTCAGAACCTAGTCTTTACCGTCACAGAAAAACTCAGGGATTATTAGTGATTAATTTTAACTTGTTCTCTTCCACTTCTTCCTCCCTTACTAAACCACCATTCCTTCTCTGGGTTTTCTCCTCCTTTGTTGCCTATCACCCTAGCACTTTTCCTATAAAGTTTTTTTCTGTATGGAGTTTGCAGATGCAATTGGTCCTATCCTGTCAGATATCTGCACAAGCACAATTAACATTCTCTCTCTATATATAATAATAATAACAATAATAATAATAATAATAATAATAATAATAATAATAATAATAATAACAATAATAATAATAACAATAATAATAACAATAATAATAACAATATTAATAATAATAATAATAATAATAATAATAATAAAGGAAGGAAGGAGGGAAGAGAGAAAAAAATGAAAAATAGCAGCAAAAGAGCAAGCCAATTATGAAGGTAGCACAGAAAGTTTACAGGTTGAATCCCAGGAATCACACAATATGAAGTATATTACATCATCAAATATACATCCATTTCAAAATGAAAACAAGTGTCTATGATTTCTAATAATATTGTCCTTAAAATCAAGTTTTTGTCCATGATTCAGCCAAAGCCTAAGACATGTCTGGAGGTATATCACATGAGTAAGAGCTATCTTCACCGGATGATGCTTTGTTTTGTAATTCAAGACACCAGGAAACACTTTTTCACATTGTAAGTTTTGCTCCAGATGCTGGGCATGAAATGTGGTGATGTCATGATCTGGGAACGTACTACTTGAAGAGTTAGTATTCTGATTCTTTGAACCCATTTTGCAGTTTGCATTCATGGTTTTAAATAGAATAACAAGTTTTGCTACTTTTTTTTGTCTAAGGTGGTTTTAATCTAAAATGTGAAAGTTCATAGATTAAAAAAAAAATTCAGTACTTATGACAAAGCAAATGCAGATAGTACTAGCTGCACTGGTGAAATAGCTTTATTGCTTAGTACAATTGAATGAGACTTCCATCAATTAACAACTGGTTATTGAACCACTGAATGTAAATGCATAGAAAGGTGGCCATTTTGCTTGAAATACACACAAGATTTCTTTCTTTACTCAATACTGTTGTTATTAATGACATCAATGTTGACATAGAGTTATGCTGGTACTGAACAATTAAAAGTTAAACTGTCACAGACTGACATAACTTGGTCAAGTTAGGGAGAACAATTGTGTACCACATACCAGTGGCTGCCTAGCTGCTTTACTGATTGATACACATATCCATGTTAGATTATGTTCAGTTCAGAAAGAGATAAATTGGCTAGTGGCTGCATGACAGGTTTAAATATACTATGATGTAATTTACCTATCAGATTAGTGTATTAAATATATAAAGGTGAGATGACCATCATGTCATGAAAAAATCTGGCTTGAAGAGCAGTTGACATGAACATGCTGTCATGGGAAATTTTGGCTATAGGCCAGAGTGATATGAACCTGCTGTCGTGAGCTGTAGGCTGGGTTGATGGGAATTACTCGCCACGAGTGTACAAAACTCTTGCAGGGTGATTAGACTCATTTGGTGTTTATGAAGGGGCTTTTCATTGATGAATGAGTGTGGAATGTGTCATCTGTGAGTCATGATTGGCAGAGTGCTGGTTCCAGGGAGAAAGATATTTCCATGCTCAGAATAATATTCTTGACTGCCGTGACTGGTAGTGCAGGTTGTATTACCAAAAAAAATTAATATTATATATATATATATTTTTTAATGATACAAATTACAGAATGTGGTAAATCTTTATGATAAGCTAGGGCAAATGAAGATGATATTCTTCTAGAAGTTGCAGTCATCAGTACAATAAATAAAATTCAGACAAGAACAGTAACATCACAAATAATGGAAGATCACTGAATGTACTGCTCACAGCCTAAGTCATGGATGTCAAACATGTGGCCTATGGTACATTAGCTATTTTTTACAGTAGCCATTTTACATGATTAATAAGCTAGTCCTTCATCTTTTAAAATTATTACTTACACTCTTACAGTGAATAAATAGCCTCCTACACTTTTATATCAACTATTTTGCCCTTTTGTATTGAATCATAATTATCTGGCCTGCATACTGTGTACTAAGGAGAAATGTAACTCTCGGGTAAACAAGTGACAACCCTGCCTACATTTCTTCAGTCAGTGTCCAAGTTTCAGCTATCTGCTGTGCATACCAAGGGAAGGGACTGTTCAAACCTGGATGATGGGTGGAGAGGGGAGAGGGAGAGGGAGATGGGAGAGGGAGAGGGAGATGGAGAGGGAGAGAAATGAAAGAAGAAAGAAAATGAAAGAAAGAAGAAAAAACGAAAGAAAAGAAGGAAGAAAGAAAAGAAAGAAAGAAAGAAAGAAAGAAAAAAAGGAAAAAGAAAAGAAAAGAAGAAAAGAAAAAAAAAAAACAATGTTGCCATTAGATATCAATGGCAACGCGCAATACTTTCGTGTGGGAGTTCAGTAAATCAAGCGAATCATTGGCTCATAGTGCTTTGGCGCCCAACGCCTGACTGCATACAGCCACTGCATACAGCCACGCATACAGCCACACACCACAGAAGCTGAGCTGTTTGTTGACGACTCATGGGCGTGACCAGTCGGAAGGGGTTAAATAAATTTGTGCCGTGATGTTGGGGACCTTTGGCAACTGTACATGTACTGTAAAGAATTACCAAGAATGATACTTATTGATATTATTGCACTCAGTTAGGGACTAACTAGAGAGATTATATGGAGTCTGTGTATGGAAAACTGTTGATTACCATCTAGATGCAGCAAATCAAATGACAAATATAGACACTGGAAAACAGGAAAGCTAAAACTGCTTATGCAGAAAAATTGCAAGGTGGAGACACTGAGTCTTGTCACCACACATGAACATTCATGTGTGCCCTGCCTACAAACCACACTTCAGAGTGGCCACTCAAGTAAGCCTAATGTTCATAACTTGGGTGACATGACAGCAGTGAAGCATCCAGATCCAATCAGTTAAAGGACATCCATCCTGGCCATACTTTACACAGAAATTCACTTGATGCCATTGGGTTGCAATGTCCTTATGAGAAATTAGCTACAATAATGCAATGTTACATACACTGAAGATACTGAAATGTTCTATTCCTGACATAGAAATGGCCCTTTGCACCTTCAGTCATGTTTACATGTAAGATATCAAGTGTAATAATTTCATAATTTAAGTGGAAAGCATATCTTATTCTATGTAGCAGCAAATTTTGAAATGAGGAAGCAGTGCAAGTTACTAATAAAATCACTAAGGAGACTCTTTGACTAAGACATACACAATTTCTAAGACACTTGTAGTCAAAGACTGTTTTTAACCCAATGGCGCCGGGTGTACAAAAAACAAAAAAAAAAACTCTAACGCTTAAGCAAACAAAGGCGGAGCACCGACTTTGAGCTCGTTGTGAGTAAGGGGACATCAGCCCAAATCACTGGCTCGCCGCCGGCTCGTTTGGCTGCACGCCAGCTTTCGAGCGCTTTGTTTACACGCCCATCGGCGTCACCCAGCACCAAGGGGTTAAGGACAGCTCTTAACTCTGTGGATCCCTAGGAGTGGATGGAGCAATAGGGACTTAATCTTAGAGGGATGCAGTCATTTCCTGAACGACTAACAATACTGTCATCTGTATCATTTGTTATGGAAATTTACAAGATTCACACATATCATAACGTGAATAACTGAAATAAGGAATAATAATTGCAAGATGGCTGGCTGTGCGAAACTAATATTATGCGTTAAAGTTATGAGAGGAGCACTGAGGCAGAGGGAAGTGGAACTGCCATCTTATAGAGCATGAGAAATAGAGTCAGGAAAACAACACAGGTACAGATGGTGCGGTCTTACAGTTTACTACTAAATAATGAAAATATTCACTGCATATCACCAATAGAGAATTAAGACTACATCTTACACAAGCACAAATTCTATTCTATTCACGTTGCATGTTCTGTGAAGTTGGCAGGAAGCTGCTACTAAAGGAGGTTGCTAGGGGGGGGGGGGGTTGTCTCCTGTCTAGGGAATATATAAAAGGTAGGAATAGTTAGGTTTGGATTTTGCGTTTGAATGATACCCTGGTCTTGGGACTTATTCTCTGGAGGGGCTTCACTCTCGGTAGCAAATAACAAATTTACCTAAAGCTCTGTGACTTCTCGTAAACATCGGCTCTCTAAGTCATAAAGTAAAAATAAACACTTGACCAAGACAAGGGAAAATATTAGTTCGAAAAATTGCACCACCTTTCTCTTTCGTTTCGTTTGTTTGAATTCGACTATCGAGAAAATATTATGATTATTATTAATTCTCTATAAATCTATAAAACACAGACAGATTGTGTACACGTAGGTGCGAGTTTCATTGTCTTAGTTTCGTTCTCTGGGAATATTTACACAGTCAAATTATAAAACCAATCTTTAACATGCACTAATATTCAACACATATATAGTTTATCCGC